AGGGTGAGCAACCTATGGAAGTGGTGCACATTTTAAAAATTTAAATGGACTTTTTCCATCATGTCTCTGTGGTACAGCTATGCACACCCACCCCTTCTTCTAGGAGTAGCCAGCAGAAATCAGAAAACAACTTTTAATTCACATGGAAAGGGTGGGATCTGGCCTAACAGGCAGCATGTCCTTGGTTTCTCCACAAAATGAAATATTTCACAACATCTATTTTAATTGAAAAAAACCAATGCACCCTATGCTATTGTACATTAATGGCAACTTCAGGGAAGAGGAGATTCATACATGAACTATTGGTACAAGTATTGGTACTGTCTTATTTGGAAAGGTGAAGAAACTCCCCCCTCCAACAGCTGCCAGGTTTTGTTTGGTGGGCAGGGAAGTGGTGAAGGCCTGGCTTCTCTTTAAACCTCCACGACACCTGCCTGTGCTACCCTGCTTCTGTTCTGCTCTCAGATGGCCCCAGCTGCCCCTCACTCACAAGTGGTTACATGAGAAAGTCAGAAAAGGCAATTTACCCAGCTACCCCAACCAATCCTCTGCCTGCACCATGTACCAGCATTCCCAGTATCCAATGTTGCAGGTGATGGACCTGCTGGGAAAGGTAGCAGGTGGAGCGGCTGAAGGGATGCATTATTCGGCACAGGGGCAGTTACTGATTTTTTCAAGTTTTTATGCCAAGAACTGTACAGTGCTTTATGAAACACAGGCAGAGTCGCAGTCACTTAGATTTAAAACACGGACATTCTAACAAAGCACAAACCAGTAACTCCTCACCATGCCTTTGAGCTGTTCCTTAGTCTGCACTGTGCATGAACACTAAGCAGAAGACTGAACTGAACAGCATTCATAACAGAAACCATTATAAAGCGAGGGTAAAAAAGCAGTAGTTAAAAATTGAGAGAACTGGAAGCTTTCCTTCTGGTACCTGTGTCAACACTGAGGTGCCCTAACGAATTTCCTCTAGCACCTGGAAAAATATATTTCCCTTTGTTTTGCTTGTCTTATTTCTGCTAAACATTCAAGAAGAAATAGATTCAGAAGAAGCAACCCATGTACTATGGAGTGTATTTACTAATATCTATCCCAACCTGGAGGGTTAAAATAGTAGCTGAGTATAAGTTTGTTTGCAGAGTTTATTTTTTAAATTTCATGATGAATTAGCCAACTCTATGTGCTGAACTAATTTTAAGAAAATTAAAATGTTTATCTGACTAAAATAAATTGTAAATGAACTCATTTTTTCCTCCACCTTTTTTTGTTGTATTTCATGCATTGTAGACCCTAGCAATGATATTAGTTCTAGTGTGGGAAAATATTATAATTGAGATCTGCTAAGTTATTTGCAGACTTCAAGTTTTTCTTTACACTGTGCTGACGTTTAGTACAGCCCCGGTGAGGAAAACAATGCTGCCATTCACAGCTCTAGACGTAGATTTCAATCGACTTAAGCGGGCACAATGAAACTTGGTCATTCGCTGGTTACCCATATTGTGTTCTCAAATTTTCTCTCAGCAAAAGTATAATGACTCAGTATTGTATAGTTCCATAGACAAGGACTCAGAACAAGAGACACTAGTTTTGTCTGATGGTGTGAGAAAGTCGTGAAGGGATCTTTTCTTCCAGATGGTGTTAAATTCAGCTGCCTTTTTAACATTGCCTTGCACAGCAATGTGCTGCTCCCTTTTCACAAAGAATAAGCCCGGGTCCCTGCTAGTTAACATGCATACTCACGCAACCTGCAACTACACTCCAACTGTTTTACAATGCAGTGGTATGCTAAATAAACTTCCAGTGCTAAAACTAGCTTTGAGAGAACTGCCCCACTGATAATTAAACTTTTTGTTCTTGTTTTGGGGATTTTTTTATGTTACAGAAAACTTCATTGGTTTTTTGTTTGATTTTTTTTTTCCCCACAAGTTTTAAGGGAACAGCACCTAACAGATAGATAATCCTAGGAAAGGATTACTTTTCGGAGTTACTTGGTGCATGAGCCTGTTAAAGCATGATTGAGGGCCTGCTACCACATTTCGAAATGTTCTCTTTCCCCAAGTTAAAAGTTAGCTGTGCCAGAGAAAAGATGCAGAGAAATGAGGCGCTTTGCTCCTAAAGAAGTGAAGTAGTAATAAAAATAATAGTAATAATAGTCGTATTTTATTGATTGATAATGTAACATTAATAAGGTACAAAACAATTTAAAGTGACAATGGCCAACATGTGATTATATGTTGCTGTTTTTCTAGGGTGTTTTCCTTCACAAGTTTACACTGGAGACCAAGATACAAGCAGTAGTTTAAGTGAATTGACCCTTTTCATGACTAAGTAAACAATGGGCTTCCCCAGAAAACAGCTTATCGCCTTAATTGAAGCTATTTGAGAAAGAAAATCGCGCACTTTGTCATGTAAATGTTAATTGTAGTAGACAAAATGGCTCTAGGTAAATAGCACCTCCAGACAAGCAGTAAATGAGAGGCGTGCGGGCACTCGGCGGTGAAAGGCTGGCGGCACAAACACGGTTCCGATGTAAATAAACACGGCTCCCCTCTCTGGGCGCTGCAGCAATAAAACTTTGGCACGCGTAGAGCAGCCAAAACGGAGGTTTAACCTCAAAAACAGCCTTGCCGGGGCCTCGGACGGCACTGCCGGCAGCCACGAGGTGGGACCTACGACGAAACTGAGGTTAACAGCTACGGGGAGGATGGGGTAACTTTTGGGGCCAAATTCTTTGTTTTAGATAGCAAACCTGCTGCTTCCAGGACACCCTGTTCCACCCCTCTCACGGTGTGTGGCGTGATGAAGAATATTCTCGCTATAAGGCCCAAACCAATTTTTTTTATATAACCAGTTCAAGAGCAAAGTAGAAATACAAGAGAAAATTAAATAACAATAAAAAGCGGCGCACAGAAGGCTAGCCCCGGACGGATGGAGACCACTGAGCCCCCTTCTGATCTTATCTTATTTCTGATCTTATTTTAATATGCCGTGGAGAACGTTCTGTTTCTAACACAGTGTCTCACATGCCAGCGTGCCTCCGGGAAGACGCTTAGGTCAAGTCCAGAGGAAATATGTTACCCTGAACAATTAAACCTCCTCGATTTCACTGCACGAGGCGCCTAAGCCGCGGTAATTACAAAGATGAATAGCACCCGAACCAATATTTGTTAAAAACACGAGGATCTTCGCAATACCGACAAGCCTGCCTTTCTCTTCATCCACTGGGACCAAAGCCCGCATCCCCCACCCCGCTCCCTCAGCAGGAGAATGGCGCAAGTTCCGCCAGGGCTCAGGTTCCGCCCTTCTTTCGCGGCGGGAGGCGGAGGAAGCCGGGGTGTCCACTCGCCTGGCACCTCTCGGATGGCCGCGGGTGGGAGATGCTGTCGCGGGTGCCGGCGGTGGCTCCCCCCGCCCGACCCCATCCCCGGCCCCGGCCCCCGCCGGGCTGTCTGTCACCGGCCGCCGGGACACGGCGTTGGCACTTGCCCCGAGCGTGGGAATGGGAGCGCCCAGCCGTTCACATCTCCTGCACGCCGTTTAACAGAATCAATTAGGCAAGACAGACCCTCCGCTTCTCCACTCTCGCACGCCCCCTCCCTTCACTTTTTTTTTTTTTTTTTTTTTTTTTTTTTTTTTTGTCAGGACCATATACGTCCTAATTATTTCGGTATGGGATGCCAGAGCTGTTTCCTGGATAGATCTGATCATCCTTAAACAAAAAGAGAGGAGGCGCACACGTGGGTTTTGGAGTAAATGTCACTTTCATTTCCAATGCTAGGCGCAGAGCAAGGCACAAAACATTTTTTTACACTTTGACAGGGGGGAGGCGATCTCGTCTCCATCATGTCTTTCTGCTTCAGTAGCTTCCTCAAGGAAACCCTCTCTCAACACAGAAGCATCTGTGCTAGCGTTTTGAATAGAGAAATAAAAATCGGCCATTACTTTTTTCCCCCCATTTTTGTGCAGCTCCGCCGGGTTCTCAGTAGATATAAATTATTAAGCTTGTCTACACTTCAGTGTAAAATTTTTCTGAAAGCCTACTTTCATAGGACTTGAAATTAACCTCGATGCTTTGTCTCAGATGCACACAGACAGGTTTTGGGTTGGTTTGTTGTTTTTTTGTTAGTTTGGGTTTTTTTTCCTCAGTTCAGTAGTCCACTCTGTATCATCAATATCACCGTCTTCATCATCACCAACTACCACCTTTATTTTTAAGGCCACTTCATTGCAATGAATCACTTTGCAAAATGAAACTCATAATTAGCTTTTTAATAGAAAAATAAATCATGTATATCCTCTTAGCCCAGTTTAAGGCTGGCTGGTCTGGGTTTGTCTTTATTTATTCAACAGCAATAGTTGCACATGCATTGTTTATCATCAGTACCATGTCCTCTGTGCAGCGGCTGGCTATCCATTATATGCCATCTGACAACTTCATATTTTGGAATGAGTATGCCATTTAATTTCATCCACTCCCACCTTCAGCTGTAAAAATATTAGATTCAATAAGCATTACTGACCCTTCTCGAGTTTTACTGTCTCTCGCAGCAGTCTTTCATTTTCACACGTTGTACGATGATCTTGAAGGAGTTTTTACTTTCGGTTATCTAGCTTTATGAAGACCAAAACACTCATACAGCTAGATAACCAAAGATAACAACTCACTTCCCTCAAAGCTTTTTTTTATTTATTTTTTATTTTTTTTTTCTAGTCCTTGCTAGAATCCAGAGTTTTTCTGGCAAACAGACATGTTGTTTCCTCCAAGAGCACCAGTGCTGCTTTAAAATGTTCATCCTTTTATGCAAGTGTCTCTGTATGTATGTGCAGCTAATAACATCCAAGAGAAATCTGTTGCCTTCGAAGTTTATTCCGAACTTTTTTTTTTCAGCCAGTAATTTCCGGCAGGGATAGCCAACGATTCGTCTGTTAATACCAGAAAATAAAACCAACCATTAAGGTGCGTCAAGCTGCGTTAAGGGAGAGGAGCATCCATCCTTTAACAGGCCTCTATTTGCATTGTAAATCGCTTCCTTCTCACGAACGACTCTTTAGCCTCTATAAAGACGTAAAGCCATCAGCAATTTCCAGCGCAGTGTAAGGAGGAAGAAGAAGAAAAAAAAAAATTCCATTTAGTAGAAAGTAGCAAGATGATTCGAGGATGCATCTCTTGATCCCTTTATATTATGCACAGATCCCTTTATATTATGCATAGATCTCTTTGCCAAATGGTGGCAGCTTGATTGCAAATATCTTGCGTGCAGTGTGTATTTTAGAGGGGGAAGATCCTTGCTTTCTCGGGGCTCCCAGAGCTGGGGAGAAGAAGACGCGGTCTTGCCGGCTGCTGCTGCCCCCGGTCTGAAAGAAGGAGGAAAGGGCCATCATTGGAGGGCTTTCAGTGCCAAAATGCGGGCCAGTCAGGCAAGGTCAAAGGTCCTGGACAGCGGGAGACCAAGGTAATGATGATGTCATGAGAAACCTCAAGTACACACGGCTATTGATATGCATGAGCGACCAGCCACCGGCGCCGGGACCGAGCCCGGTCTCGCCTCCAGCATCGCCGCCTCCGCCGTCTTGGCGCGGGGGATCCGCCCGCCGCTGTCACCTTCCTCCTCCTCGGCAGCGCAGACCGCTTCAACATCCAGAGGCCGGGAGGCAGGACGCTCTCCCCCGGGGCGGGAAGCAGCCTGACCGGCCCCGGGGAGAGCAGGGGAGCCCCGAGGAGCCCGCGCTCCTCTTCGGGCAGCCCCCGCCGGTGTGCAGCGATGCCGCGGCGGGAGCGGGGCCTGGTACTCAGAGGCCGGGAGCAGGGCTGTGCTACGCAGTAAGTCGATGTGTAATTACATTGACAATTTGCTCTGTCGTAGGGTGCCTGCGGGGCTTTGTGGTTTTTTGTTGTTTTGGGGGTTTTTTTGTTTTTTTTGGTGTGAGGTTTGGTTGTGGTTTTGTTTTTTTTTTTTGGTTGGTTGACTGGTTTGGGGTTCTGGTTTTGGGTTTTTATTTTTGTTTGTTTGTTTGTTTGTTTTGGTTTTGGATTTTTGTTTGATTGTTTTCTGTTGTTTTGGTTTGGTTTGGGGTTTTGTGGTTTTGTTTGTTTGTTTGTTTGTTTGGTGGGTTTTGGTTTGTTTCGTGGTTTGTTTTTTGTTTTGTTTTTTTTTTTTGACTCCACATCTCTGTCGTGCTTCGCACCCGGCGTGATTCGCAGCTATTTACAGCGGGATGGTCCAAGATGTTTTCCTCTGCCTGTCCGTGGGGGAACCTGAGAGCAGCAGGTTCAGTGCATTCTGTGGCATCAATTCCACCTCTCCGCCCTTCTACCCTGCCCCCCTCCCTCCCAGCTTGTGTGTGTCTCTATGTCTGTGTTAGAAAGCAACACAGGTGAACATTGCAGCAACATTTGTTTAAGTCATGCATCATCACCTGACGAAACGCCTTAATAAAACTGCTGATTTATCGTTTATTTTTATTAACCTCGTACTCAGAGTGAAGAAATGCATGCTGATGTTACTCACGGAACCAACGAAGGCAAGTCTTTCTAAACTGTTAGGATGTGTTGTGTGCAGTTTTAGGATTTAAGCCTCTCAGTTTCCCCTTCCCCACTCCCCCAAAAGAACATTACACTTTGAATTATTTAACAATATAATTTGCATGGAATTTTTGTTACTCTGAAGTGCAAACTTTAAAGGCCTCCTGAGTATGTGTGATGTAATGAACCTTCTCACTGAGATCTACCATATTTTCTGTAGAAATTAAAAAATGCACTTCAACAGCTGCAGTGTGCTGTGGTCAGTGTAACACACACCAAAAAATTCAGCACACACAGACTATGGAGTGCTCTGAAATCCTAAAGGAATAACAATTTAAAATTCATGCTGCTACTCCTCTTCTAAGGTGCAAAATATAACACAGTATATCATGCACTATGTTCCCGCACAATTAGTTAATGTCACACTGCATTTAAATACATTTTTTGTAAATTAACCTGTGTTTGCATAGGTTGCTAATTTTTAGGTGGAATTTTTTGAATGCATGGAGTCAAGCTAAAGTTGTTGTTGCTCTGTGTTGGCTGCAGAGCTTGCTTGTATGATAAAGGAAATGTGTGCTTGTGTGTATACAGGGGAGCCATATGTACACGTGTCAGTCTAGGTACATGTGTGTGTATGTGTTTGAGCTAAAATATATATGTAGATGTATGCAGTTACACCATAAAATATCAAGTAACCAGCCCATTTTTTATCATAATTACAAAAGCATGAAAACAGGGAAGTAATCTCCTTTGTCAGACACTGCTCAAAATTAATACTGTCATCAAGAAGTATCACAAAGACATTGCTAATCTGCCAGTCTGCTAAGTCTCAAATACTGCAGAAATATTTCTAATTTATTTCTCCTTCCAGATTCTAAGCCTTTGAAATCAAGCATTTCTTTTTTTAAACAGGTATTATTTATCCTCATATAGACTGCTTTTTTACAACCAGTGTTTTTTACTTGAGAGCCATAAGAGCTCATCGTGCCGGTCTTCTTTGTGGAAAATTCAGAGACTCACACAAAATGGTTAGAATACTTATAATGCTGCATTACGAGTTACTGAACTTCTTCATTACCTCTCAGGCTGTTCAGGCACAACAGGAGCAACTGAATCAGACATCTGATACATCCAGAGGCACACGATCACTTTGATATTATGTAAAATTCTAATGAGCTTTTCTGAATTGGCAGATAGGCAGAAAGATGTGGTTTTTATGGCAATAGCTAGGGGCAGTAGTGCTGGTGATCAAGCATGTGTTGCATAGGACAGGCTTATGAGTTTATGGATTAAATTCTTTCAGTCAGAGGCATGGAAATTCAAGTGCTCCTTGTGTATGTGTGTGTGGATGCTTATATAGGTGTCTATGTACATATATAGGTGTGTATGTACATATCTGCATATAACCATATTAACACAGATGGATATGTACATGTTCATGCAAGCGCATCACCAGATGTCACGTCACCGGATTTACACTTAAATGCAAGATATATTATTGCAAATGGGTACTTCCAAAGATGTAAGGTGTACCTTCAAAACACCAAGCCCTGTTCCCACAACCACCTCACTTACATTCTGACTTACTCTGAAGTAACTGCAATACACACGTTTTGTTGATTACTCATTGGAGCATGTCAAAAGAGTCAACATGATGGTTATGATGTAGCTGATCATTAGCCATATTACGGATTACATTTTCTAGCTCTCAGACACTTAGTAAGGCCTTAAAATCATCGGGTGTCCATTAAGTATTTGCTTATTCTGAATATTACAAAAATGTATACAGCAGTTTAAGGCACATTTCCAAGACTTCAATGTGGAAAGTTTAAGCAATGCACAGTTTTGAAAATTCTACCCAAAACATCACCTGAATTGTCAAAAACAGCAGTTAACACAGCCTGCTCTCCTCCAGTTTACATAATTGAATAAAACTTATTTATTCCAAAGTCACTGTAGAAACATCAGCCTATTGGAAGGCATGGAATACAAACACTGACTTTTTCCTCCTAGTTGCCTAATAAATTCCCACTAATGGCCTGCAGATTAGTATGTGATTGTCATGCTTGCTTTCTAATCTTTTTATAGGTCTGCAGACACCTGTGACATAAAGAAGAAATATCCTGCATGGATTTTTTAAGAATAAACAGTCTCTATTGACTTTAAAGAGGAATGCTTATGATTCTCTAATCATTGCAATGAGACCCCCATCCTATCTCCAGCATCCCCACCTTCTGTGTGGAAGACACACAGGAATCCCCCTTAAGCTGCTGTGAGGTACCTAAGAGGGCGTAGTGTTACATAAATTCCATTTTCACACTAAATTATGGCAGAATTCATGTAGAGTTAAACCACCATGGCATACCAGTACAGCCCAGGCCACCTCTCCTTGTAGAGCAGCATCCCTTTCCTCCCAGCCAGGTAAGTCACTTGACTGTCTTGCCTTTCAATAAAGGTGCCTCATCTTTTCTTTTGTGATCACTATTTCATTTGACAACAACTGCAGATTATACTTCTGTTATGTTAAACCTATAGTGTGCAAAGGGATATCTACCACAAATTACAAACTAAAAAAAGTCAGATTATTAAAAATTCAGTCTCAGAAAAAAATACATTATCAAACCCACACACAGTCAGTGATTACACCTGGAAACACTGTGTGCTGTTAAATAAGATATATTCATATCTGTAGGTGATACATGTCATTCTCTGACTTCTATTAAACAAACAAACAAACAAAAAAATTACCGTTTCTTGTCGTGATTTCACTACCTGTGTTCTGTCTGTTGTCTAAACCTGAAAAATAGCCCCCTCCAAAAAAGCAAAGGATCACAATTTAAACACTTTCAGTGTTTGATTCTTGTTCCAGAAATGCATGTGAATGGGTAAAACTATGTGTTTAGAAGGCACTGAGTATATTAACTTCCAAGATTATTAGATAAATCACTAAAACGCTTGACTCTAGGTTAAATGGGGAAATAACTAGCCACATTTCCTGAAGATGATCTAATATGACAGAAAACAGATATGAGTGATAGCCTTCTGTATCTGCAGAGTTAAATATGGTAATCAATATTTACAGGAAATCATATGAATAATTTACATTTTTAAAATTTTATTGTTATTTCTGGAGAATTATGGTTAAAAATAAAAGGCTAAAAATATTATTTGGGACTGCTGAATAGAAGTGACCAAAATTATAGAGGCAGATCTATGATTTGCGTGCTACAAGCTGCCAGTTACTTAATAAAGGATGGAGGCTCCACCTAGCCTTCAGTTCAAAACATGCAAAATATACTAAGCCAGCCTTTCCCCACTGGATTTCCCAGCCCTTCCAGACCTATGCTGAAAGCCGAATTACCAGGAAGGCGTGGTCTCTATTTACAGCCCCGAAAGCTTATCAAGGGCAGCAGGGTTAAATAAATACAGTGTAAGCTGCTCGCTTTCATTGCATTATATCCAATAGAGCAGCCTTAGCTGAAAGAAAAAATTAAATAAATTCTTATTATTTCCCAGGGAGCAACAGTGTTCTTAGATGTTACAACGAAGGAGTTTCACCCGTTCCATGGACCAGTGTGGACCGCGGTTGTTGAAGGATTTTGACCACTTTTTTGGTGGATAGAGAGATGTGAGGGGACACTCCTGGGCCGTGGTGAGCGGCTGGGCTGCACCCTTCTGCCAGGTACACTCCTGAGCTGAGCCGTTTTGGCCAGGATGGATTTGGAGAACCCGGGAAGTGATGGCTGCTTGTTCTGAGTGATCCACTATGTGGGAGGCACTGGATGAACAAACTGCTGCGAGCAATCCCTTGCACCTCGACCAGCTGCAAGATATACCTCCAACTTCTCTCCTTCCCCCTCCTTTTTTTTTCCTGCCCATTTCCCTCCCCCCTTTATGTTTTTTTTCCTTTTTTTTTTTTTTTTTTTTTTTTTTTTTTTTTTTTTTTTTTTTTTTTTTTTTTTTTTTTTTTTAGTTTTGTTGTTGTTGTTTGGTTGTTTTTTTAAGCTCAACTATGTAAAGGCCTGTTATACTTCAGCCCTGTGACTGTTTGTTCCTGTGCCTGCACACCTTTTGAGGGCACCCAGGTATTGCAGAAAAAAGCTCCCTCAGAAGCCACAGCTCGGCAACTGCTGGTAGTCTGCCAGATAATTAACATTTCCCGCAACCAAATACAGCTACACGACCAACAGGTTTATCTTCAGACACACAAAACCAACTCACCAGCATAAGACGCTGTGTCCAGTCATAAAACCTTGCCTTGTTAATCAAATGTCCCTTGCCAGGAGCAAGAGCTCTGTCGGGGAGACCCTGTCTGGCTACCCGAGGAGAGGTGGCCTTCGCGGGCTCACAGGGATCTGGGAAACCTCCACCTGCCCGGGGCTCAGCACCCCAAATTTTGCCAGGAATTCAGGACACCAACACACATACATAAACACTTGCGGTACTTACATTTCTTCGCCTTTATCAGGGAAAGATGTGACCCCAGATCTAGGGGGAAAGCTGAGCCAACGATGACAAACAAAGATCCCCACGGCCAAGGCCCCTCAGAGCAGAGAAAGCTCTCCCAATTTTCCATAAATTCACGTCTTTCCCCTCGCCATCCCTATTTAAAAGTGCTGCTTAGCTCCACAGTATTATTCTTGTTCCAAGGACTCTAAAAGAGTTAGAAATGTTCCATCCAGAAAAATGGGAGAGAAACACAGAAAGTTGGCTTGGGTTTGCCTTATATTTTTTCTTTTTTTCTGCAATGCTTCCTATGCCCCGGAGTAGAAAGTGAACTGTTGTATGTGAGGCTCTGCAAGTTTTTTGGGGGAGTTGGCCAAGGTCTAGTCCAGCCCTCTCTGCTGAGGAGGACGTGCTCTGAAATTCAAGCAATTTCCCCAACGCTTTTGTTGCTGATGAACTGAAGCCCTATTGTTCCTCCATTGCCACGGTCTTTTTCAGTTCCTATTATAGGTTGTATGTTGCCAGAGATAATGAATTTGCACCAAAAACCTCTCATAGTCCCATTTTGACAGACGGAACAAATTAGAAATGTCTAGTGTAAAGAAGAGCAATGGCTACCTCTTCCTAGAGAAGAAGGGAAGCTTGCATTTCTTTGGAAACTTAGGAAAAAAAAAAAAAGTGAAGCAAAAGGTCGAATGTTCTAAGGTGTTTTCCTTCAGCTAAATTCCAGAAGAAGAGTTTCATCCGAGTCTTGTTTTTGGAAGGCACTGCCATTTGTGCAACTTTTGTCCAAACCAAGTAGCCGGTCAACAGCAGGAAAAAAAAAAAAAAAAAAAGGAAAAAATTAGAAAAAAAAATCGTAACAAAAAATACCCTTCTCCCATCCCTGCTTTCATGCAAACTTGTAGCGTGACCTCTCGTCGCTGGAAGGAGAGTGTCCTAAAGAGCTGCCCGTTCCTTCTATCCCCACTCATCCATCTCTCTGTGTTTGGAAACAGCGTGAAAACGCCCGTAAAAGCCCCGGCTAGGTTTTAGGGCGCAGGGGGCGGGTGGGGAGAAGTTTGGGTGTGCGCCGGAATGGGAGGTGTGCAGAGAGGAAGGGATGGAGGCAGGGATGGAGGAGGGATAGGAGAAAGGTGCAGGGCGAGGGGGCGGCAGGATGGCTCGTTCCTGCACCAGCCCCCGCCTGGGGGGCGTGTGGGGTGTGACGCCTGGGGGGCGTGTGGGGCGGTGTCGTGTTGGTCCCTCACAGTGAGTCAGCTTTACGCGAAGCCGCGAGTGGGCAGTTGTCAAGGAGTGTATGTGTGTGGGGAGGGGGTTGAGAGGGGCAGGGGAGGGCGGGGGGAGGGGCGATGCTAAAAAATTAATAAATATATGTATATATACACGCTACAGACGCTCACACACAGACAATTTTATATATATATATATATATAAAATGTGTGTGTGTGTGTGTGTGTGTGTGTGTGTATGATGTCAGATGTGCGTCCCGCTCGGAGCGCGAGGCTCTAGGGAGCGGGAAGCAGCTCCGCTGTCTCCGGGCACGGATTTCCGCGGAGTGTTTCTGCGGGGAGATCCCCACCGCAGCCCCGGGCAGCCGGGCATCCCCTGCCGGCACAGCCCCCGGCGATCCGGCGAACAAAGAGAGCTCTGTGAGGACCGGAACGCCAACCCCGAGAGAACCGAAGGAATTTAGCACGAACAGTTGGCTAAAAAAAAAAAAAAAAAAAAAAAAAAGATTTATAAGAGTCGACACTGCTACCCCGGTCAGAAAAACACCCGCTTTTCCGCTTCCTGGCGAGGGTATTGAACATTAGTTGAAATGCTTGAATGGAGGAGCGGTGAGTGTGCGGGTGTGCAGCCCCAGGAACGGCTGTGCCAAGGTCCACAGAGAGGCTCTGGAACAGCTCACAGCAGGCTGACAAATGAGTTAATAATGTCAGCAGCAAAGGAGAGAAATTCGGGTCCTAACAGAGAACACCCCTCTCATCCTGCCGCCTAGCCGGAAGTTCTGAAAGTTCTCCCTAACATCACGATACACTGCAGAGTCTCCAGAAGAAGTGGTGTAAAGGAAGGAGGAGCACACACCGCTCTCATCTGCCGCCCGCTACCACCGTATGCTCATCGATTCCCCGCTCACATTGCGCTTTCTCCCAGCGGAGGGAGGGGGAGATCATGACAAAGCCGGGAGACCGGCTTGGACTTGCAGAACAGACAGGCGGGGGCTGAGACTCGAGATGAGGACTGCGGTCACCCCACTCCTCCAGCCGCCCACTTCTTCTCCCTCCCTCCCTGTCTCCGAGTCCCGTACCCGCGGTTCGCTGCGGAACAGCGCCCGGATGGATGCTGCGCCTCCGCTGGCTCAACGCTCCTCTGTCATGCAATGTTTTGGGGAGGCAGTAGAGAAATTTTCTTATTATCATTTTAAATTGGTTAGAAATTTCTATTTCTCGCTCGTCTCTCGATGCAAAGAAGCGGCAAATAACGTCTAATTTAAAAAAAAAAAAAAAAAAAAAAGAGAGAGAGAAAGGGCAGGACGGACTCGCCGGTCCTGCGGGAAGGTGGGCTTTCTTTTGGGGGCGAGCGTTGGGGCGGGCAGCGCTGCTGTTGCTGCTGCTGCTGCCAGAGCCTATTTCATATGGTAGAGCGCGGCCGGGAGCCTGCGCGTCCGCGGAATAGCGCGGAGCATCTCAGCGGCTGCGCCTCCGCCCCGCGTCCCCCATCCCCACTTCACGTTCAAGGTTTAGAGAAGAGGTCACGTCCACTGACGTCAACTGAAGGCATACGGCACGTCCGTCTGCATTTACATACATCAAGGAAATTAGGGCATAAAAAATAGGAAAAAAAATAGAATATGCAAATCCCCCTGCTCCGAGAAGAGATTGTCGATTCCGGGAACGATCGTCCCTATTTGCGGAAGATCCTAATTAACGGAACAAAAAACTGGGCCTCTCTCTTCTTCTAAACATCATCATCATCCACAACAAAATAAACATCCTCGAAATGAGCACTCGGAGCCGGGCTGCGGTGCGATGTGGGAGCGGGCGGCCCCGATGTGAATGCAGGGCTCCACCGCTGCGCCATTCTCTTCTCCTCCTCCTCCAGCTCCTGTTGGCTCCAGCGTGTATTACTTTTAATACTGATGCATATGTAAAGGTATATTTGCATTGTTTTTAATTTACTGAAAGTTGCAGCCTATCGCTTTTCCTTTACCCTCTTTTATCTATCTGTTTAAACATCTTTCCCCTCCCCCTCCCCATTCCCCCGGTTTTTGGCGAGATTCTGCAGTGTGTCTCTATATACAGTTTCCTCCATGCTTCTGTTTGTATAAGGTTATAGACTGTGTACAGTGCTAATACTACAAATCAAGGTGCACAAGATGCTTATTGGGCCTTAAGAAGGGAGGAGGATCTTATTGCCCTGCTCAGCTATCACATCGCTGGCTTGAAACTGGGAGTTTGCCTAATTAAGTTCATATTAGGAAACAAATTTTAAAAACCACTAACACCCCCGTTCCTGTCCCGTTTAAGGGTATAAAGAGATACAGAGATATCTCATTGCTGTGTGTTATGACCCATAAACACACTTATATCTGCCTTGGTTTCAGGAATCGTTTATTTCAAAATCTTCTCTTAAAATGTGCAGAGCCAGGTACGGAGAGCTTTCTCCAAGGAAGACATTTTGTATTTTCTCTCTTAGGTGCTGCATTATTAAATGTATTACACTTCATTTTAACGTGTGCAGCCTTAAATCCACTACATAATTCTTTATAGAAAAAGCAGCTTTTTAGATGTTGTTTGAAAATATGCTCGAAGCCTTATACTTGCTTTACCCGAAAATCCACAGGCCTTGAATTATATGAAAAACATTTTTAACATATTTCGATTTAGCTTAATGGGTAACAATAAGAAAGAAGAGTAGCAATAAGAGTAGTTTCAATATGATTAAATCCAGAAGATTACTCTGTTTTTATAGTCCAGAAATGTTATGTTTTTAAATGAGAAACCTTATTTTCCTAAGAAACGAGGGAAAAAAAAAAGCTCAAGTACATGGATAGATAATTATTACACTATGAATGGCTCACCTGCATGGATGTATCAGGCAAAAGTTAGCCTTCTCCAAAGACTGACATGCATGTATTTTTTTTAAATAAAGAGTGGAGTGTCTGTGTTTCTCAGTGCCTGTTTCACCACAAGTATACTTTAATTCTTTGTCATTTCTCACGGTATTCCCAGCGCTGCCTCTCCTTCCAGTTTTACGAGCCCTACGCTGATATGCCATCCAGTAAAAAGTGGTCAGATGGCTACACGTAAAATATTTAAAGAAATAATACCATCTCAAAACGGAAATCGTCACGGTCATCCCTTAGGTTAGCTCTTACCTTACTACATCTAGCAGCAAGTCACTAGGAAAGTACTATTTTTACACATTTTTATCAACAGTGGGTGCCGGGAACTCCTGGCCCACGGACGCAACCTGACCACCCCCCCTCCCGGTCCCTTTTAATTAGCGCTCGTGCAGTTGTCGCTCCCTTGCGGACCCGCATTAGCGTGTGCCGGGAGGCGGGAGGAGGTGAGAGCGGGTCAGTCCATCTTTCCGTTCCCGCAGCGCATCCCGCATCATTCCCTCCCTCCCCGCCCCCTCCTCGGTGCCTTACCCCGCGCCTCGCCGCAGCTACGACGGGACAGGGGTGGCCGCCGCCTGCGCCCCCGGAGCACCCCCCAGGTCGGGCTGCCGGGGGTCCGCCTCGCAGCATCCCTCCCCCCGGCTCCCCTCCTCGCCCCGCGTTACTGCGCGGCGGCCCCGCGAATCACAGCGGCGGCTTTTGAAGAAGCCCCGGGGGTGGAGGGGTTGGAAGCGCGCCCCTCCCTCCCCGCCTGCGCCGCTGCCTGTGCCACGAGCAGCGTGGGGAGAGCTGCGTGTCCCCCCCACCACCGCAGACACTTGCCACTTGAACATGACGGGGGGAATAGGAACAATAAATGCCACCCCCGTTCTCCCCCACCCCCGCGCCCACGCGTTACCTAATATCGGCCTTTTACTGCTAAAAATACGGGTCTGCACCGATCATCCATGGGAGGTGGAAATACCATCGAAGTCGGCGATTTCTTGGATTTTCGTCCAAGGATAGATAAACAAATGAATATATAACAGCACTAATAATGCTCAGATTTCGGGTGGCCGCTGCAGCCACGGAGATGAGACAGGGCGCCGGGTTGAACATAAATAAATGCATGAAATAAATCCATTTCCACATCTTCTCATTATTTTTCCCCACCTTTTTTTTGGAGGTTTTTTCCCCATCAATACTTTTAATAACTATCGTCCTCTAAACCCAGTATTCATCATTTCACACTTAAATTTTCTGCCTTGTCTCTTCATCCTTGTCGTCTTATCATATAAGTAAACCTAACTACTTATGGCTGTACACGTGAAAATTAATTTTTAGAAAAGTAGAGGTGCAGATACTGTGGATATCGTGGAAGGTCTTTTTTAAAGTATTTTCTTTTAATTACTCCCTTTTTCCTTTTTTTTTTTTTTATTTTTTTTCAGCAGGACTTAGACAATGAAATGAAAACGTGTAGAACGAAAAAGAGATAATATTAGGTGAAGTAACGGAAATTTGGCGGGAGAAAAGTATTTAACTTTTTTTCAGGAAAGGAAAAAATAAATTTAGAGCTTTCTCTTTAACACCCCCCCCCCCCCCCAAAAAAAAAAAAAAATCTATTTCCTTACCTAAAAGCTTGCAGTGCAAATGCACCCTCACGGTGCATGTCCTTTGGAAATAATAATAATAATAATAATAATAATAATAATAATAATAAGCCAATGCCCCTTCTTTTCTGGTTAAGTACATCTCTCCTTATTAGAGGTATAGAGGCAGAAACCGAGAGGAGAGGCAGGAGAAGAGGGGGCGAAAACTTCAATACTTTCATCTGTACTTCACATAATCGCTAAATGTTGAGGTTTCCAGAGGCTCAGCAAACTCTTTGTTAGGGATGTTTTGGCGAGCATGCAGAAAGCCAGCTTCAGCTCCAGCCCAGGGTGAGCAGACAGAGCAGCCGAGTCTCCAGGCACGGAGAGGTTTGACTTTCAGCACCAGCTGAAGGGAGATGAGCCCCATTTTCGCGACGTTTCTTCTGCTCTTTTATTTTCGTGGCCAGCTTATACCTAGGCAAAAAATAACTCACCGTAAAGACAAGGCTTGAAATGCACACTCTTTTCCATAAATATGGTCTCGCTGAAAGGAGTGAACTTGCTTTTTACTTTTTTTTTTTTTAATTCTTTTTTGTGTGATCTTTTTCTTTATTTGTTTCATTGATTTGTTTTGATTTTAAATTCACTCTCCAGGTGCGGAGCTTATGTTCTATCACTATCCCTCCTGCCCCGTTTGCAACCCCTCGGCAGGACGTACCCCGCTTCTGAGCAGGAAAAAAAAGCGGGAAGGAGGTGGGAGCGACACCCAGTTCCTCCGTGGGGCCTTTCCCCACCCGGTGCCGCTCAGTGTCCGGTCCAGATGCCCCGGAGGGCTCCAGAATACGTCCTCGCCGTGCGCGGCACCGGTGCCGGCGGCGGGGGAACAGCGGCACCTGCCGGTGCCCGCGGGCAAGACCCGCACCGACCGCGATCCCCTCTGTCTCCCGGCTCCTCCCAATGCTCTCCAAATGCTACCCCTCGCCGTCGCATCTGGGCTGTGCTCCACCAAAAAAAAAAGAAAAAGAAAAAAAAAAGAAAAAAATATATATATGGAGAGAGAGAGAGAGAGAGAGAGAGAGAGAGAGAGAGAGAGAGAGAGAGAGAGAGAGAGAGATCTAGCTGGAATAAGGATGTTCTGCAGGTAGAGCATCCCTCGGGTGACATGCAGCACATTCTGCCCTCCACCCCGTCTGAATTCCTCGCCCTCATCTCCACTGGGGCGGGGTGTGTGTGTGTGTGAAATTGTCGCCCCTCCTCATCCCCCACTTGCTTCGCATGTTAATTGCTGGGATCAAAATACGGTCTCGGTCTGTGGGTGCCTGTTTGAAGAGAAGCCGGGCTTACGAAACGTGGGGGCCGGGGAGAGGAGGCTGCGATATCCCAGAGAACGGTAATATTTCGACATTCCCCCTGCAGAATGGCCCCCCGTTACTTATTGAATTTTTACCAGTGCTGTCTGGAAAGTCCTTTTTCTTGGAACCACTTGTTAGCTGGTCACAGGAGGCTTTTACCTTCCCGCGATTCTCCCTTCGTCTTTTAATAAAAGTAATGAAACCGAAAGGTTTGATGTTACGGAAATGCAGTTTTTACGTGCGGGAGTGGCGGTGAAGAGTTCTAATCGCGGTAGGCAGTCAGGTGTGATTCGATAACAAATTTTCCTGATCTCCTTCTAGGAATTTTTCGTTGTCTCGTATCTCAACAGACTGCAGGCGGGTAGAAGAATAACTTGGCTGTCTCTCAGAGGACGTTTCTTCTGCGCCTTCAGGAGATTATTTCTTCTTCTCCAACAAAAAATATAAGAACGTGATTTTTATTTTTCAGTGAGAAAAGGCTGTGGGCGCACGGTCATCAAATATTTAAATTTAAAAGTGGCGTGGCTGCTATATGCGGTTACAAAAGCACGCGTGACGTGCCCGCTTCTCGCGTGTTTTAGCTGTCGTACTGCTGGTACCGATGTGTACCAGCGACGGGCACGGAGACAAACACACAGAAAGCCGGTTGCACCTCTCAGGTAGTAAAACCTGAGTATAAATTAGTTCTCTGCTCACCAGGATAACAATTTCGAGGTGCCCTTCTGAGTAAAGGCATTTCAGCCCAAGGACCGAGCATATTATTTGAACGCCCGTCGTGCTCGGGGCGTGGAAAAATAAGGATTAAAAGCAACGACAGAACCCCGACAGGCTGCGGAGGTTGTAGGGGAGGAGACGCGGCGGCGACCTTTGTCTGCCTGTCCTTCTGGTAAGGATGTTGTCTTTCTGTCCTAGTAACACCCGGAACAGCCGAGGACTATTTTGACACTCATCCTTGCCCTGGACACTATGTCGCCGTCCCCGTCCAACTCCCCGCCTGGCAGTATCGCATCTCCCCACCGCACCGCGCCCTGCAGACGGACGGACGAACAGACGGACGGACGGCGCTACTGGTGCCGGTTCCCACGCTGCCGGAGCACCCACCCCCCGAGCCGGGACCGCTGAACCCTCATTAAAACGTCGCCGTTTTGATGCTTGTTGACAAAAAGTTTCAGAGCTCTCCCAGCGCAAACCCCCGCCTTGGGTATCGGGGGGAGGGCTTGCGAGGCAACCTCCCTGACGCGTCGAGCAGGGCAAGCACGCAGAGCCCCTTGCCCTGCCAGCCCCCTCCCGCTCCTGTTTTCTTCTCCACCTTTTCAGTAGCGACAAGGGAATCAAGAAACGGAACTAAGGATGCGCGGCGGATGCCAGCCCGCTGTTCAGCCGCCACGCTGCGGGACCTGGGGAGGTCTGTTCGGGGAGCGCGGTTGTACAGCGGGATAGAGGGCCGTTACGCCATCTGCCCTTGTATTTACAGAACCTCAGTTTCCCCCTCTTTCACATCCCCAAAAGGACGCTAGGCGGGAGAAGGCAGACCTGTACCTTGTCCTCTCGCACAGGCCCATACCCTTTCCAGTACAGACGGCCACACCCCAAACAATCACTGGAATGCGACTCATCATCTCGTCCCCACCCCACTGATTTTGATTTCATCCCGAGGGGCATCGTCAGGCCTGTCCCCTGACGATGCTCAGCAGTGCGATGCTCAGTGCAGGAAGTGCCGTGCGGGTGCCACACGAACACCCGCGCGCGTGTGTATGCGTTTAACGAGCCCGTGGGCAAACCCACATCAGCTGATCAGGTTTGAAATCCAATAGCTTCCCCTCACGTGAATTAGATTTGTCACTGACGGTAAGAAAGTAGGGAGCAGGAGGGTGTCAAGGACAAAAGAGAGCGGCGAAGGATTCCCTCGTCCCTAAAGGGACGCCTTCCCGCCTAGTCCCTCTCTTTCCACTCGGACCGGACCCCAACTTATAACCTCCCTCGTTATTACAAGAGGCCGAAAGATGAAGGTCGGAGAGGGGTCGGGGCACAAGGGGAAGTCCCTGCCTCGCCCCCAACGCTGGACAAGCTTCTCCAGCCTCGGGGTGAGACGGCACGGCCGGACTGTACCAAGCTCCCCGCCCGCCCCTTCCTGGAGACACCCTCGTTCCGTACTCACCCCGTTCCCTCCTCTCCGCGCTACGCAGCCGCCCGCTCTGCACCGTCACTCGTAGGCAGTACGGTAGAGGCTTCTCCAGCCCCGCTCGAACGGGCGGGAAGAAGAGAAGAAGTGGTGGAGGGACGGGGGGGGGGGAAGTTGGTGGTGGAGGGAGGGGGGCGGCCACGAATGCTGCTCCACATCGGACTGCGACGTGGCTCGCTCCCCGCTTTTCGCCCCGGTATTTCCCACTCACTTATCTCCTCCGCTCCCGCCCCAAGGCAGACAGCCGTGGGGGACGAGGACACGTCTTTTGGGAGGGCCCTCCCTTCTTCAGGGTCCCGGCCAGGCAGGGTGAGGGGTCGAGGCTCAGCCTGTGGGGCCCAGCGGTGCTCGAGTTTGGGGCTGCTCGCGTCCCACGCCGAGAGCGGGGCTGTCGGGTCTCGGGTGCGTTGGCAGTTGGGGTGGGCAAGTCCCTCCGCGCACCAGGCATCGCCCCCCCCGCCGCCTCTTGTTGTTATCATCACTATTCCCTACTGCTGCTGCTGGTTAATTTAAGGGGCCTCTGGAAACGGAGGCCGACGGCGGGGCCAGAGGAGACAGAGGGCACGGGGGGAAGCGTCTTCTCGGGGAAAGTGGGTTCTGCCGGCGGGCAGCACCCCAGGGGGGCAGTGGGCTCGGACAGAAGGTGCCTGTGCATCGCTGCTGGAGCACCGGCGGTACCCGGGGGTCGGTGAGCGGCACCTGCCCCGTTACCAGGGCACCACATCTGTGTCCGAGCGGCTGGGGTCAGGGATCTCGTCACAGACCCCCTCGAAACTTCCACTGCTACAGATATACCAATTGCCCCACTCATTCCTTGGCTGGACTTTTTTTGGCAATTTTCTCTCAGAGGTTTGTCGAAAGTTTTTGGCATCGGTACCTGGCAGGTACAATCCCACGGTTGTGACTGCGACATCCGTCACGACTTGCGCACGATCTGCATGCCATCATTCTAAACCTTCTTCCCTCTCTAGTGTAAATGAGGGCAAAACATTATTTGCCATATAGCTATTTGGAGAAGAGTGCATCAACCGGGCTGTGGTTTCTATGGGGTTATGCAAGTTTCGTGTTTAAACAGAGTGAAAATGAGCCAATACTAATATTTGTCAACGTGTTTCAGGATGTTCATACCTTATATTTACGATATATCAAAACCCCAAAAAATGTAATGAGAGGTTGTGTTAATAATACCGAATTAAATTAACAAGAATTACAGTATGCTTAAAACAGATTTTACTAAAATGAAAATAAATATTTGATTCTTTGGCATAAACAACAAAAAAAAGCATTTTAAACATTCTATATTGTGTTCACAAATTTTCTTTAGTTTCTAACCATTTTGGTTTTATATAAAACGATTAATATAATAAATAAAACTAGGTAAGCCAGACCATGTTGCGAATTGCTATTATTTAAATTATTAAAATAAAATCCTTGGATTAATGTTCATTCCAATAACTGTGGAAATATTCTCCTTTTAATTTACTTATTTTCAAAACAGAAACTAAAATGTATTAGAGCTGACTTCATTTCACAGTAAGAAGATTTCATATTAGAACAACTGTCTGCATATCCTTGCTGTAATGTGCCACTACCTGAAGCAGATAAAAATAACAAGGAAGCTCCTGAATTTGCAATTTTTTTCCTTGTCCTCTTTATAACTACTGCTACCGTAGTCACTTTCTCGTATGGATCATCCATTTTCTCGTGCTACATCTTTCCAGACACACTCACACTCAGGTTTATTCTTCTTCAGTAGTTCCTAGATATATTGACAACGTCAGCTTTTTTTTTTTTTTTAGGAAGTTTTCTTAAAAATTACTTTCAACTTCAGAAAACAGCTAAGCTCTTTCTGGGCAGGTCAGCTCCAGTGATGCTAGGCATCAGCTGCTGTGGATCTCTAAGAATTCAGGCGGGATAAAAAGTGAATTATTAGACATGAAATCATCATCAAATTGGTTCTAAAGCCATTGAAATTGGTGCAACTGATTTTTAGCAGAGGAGAATTTAGCTCAGTTGTTCAAGTTACAAGGGTGCGTGGCTGCTTGTTTTAAAATGCAGCTCTCAAATTCATCTCTTGTTAAACTTACATACAAATATATGGCAGGTAAAGACAAGCTATATCCAGATTTTTCAAAGTAATTTAAGGGGGGGTGGAGGAATCTGATAAATTTAAAATTTTTTACTCCCAAATTTATTAGTGTTCCAGCCATGCAGCTGTACAGAATATAATTATCAGATGAAAAAGTCTTGCCAAGAGCCTGAAGCCTTACAGTAGGGGATGAAACACTTAAAATCCTGCTTAATTATTCTGGCCAAGTGAAATGTTTAATTGTATTTCCATTTTTCCTCTAATGATTTTCTCTCCCCAGAACTCTCACTGCGAATAATACACCTGCATTGCTGAGCAAAACAGTAGGCCACTCTGAAAACTACCTGTCCAGACAGTGAGAGATGGGATCGGGATACTCGGTAGGTCCATGGCACTCCCTGAAGAGAATTCGGCTTTAAACAGGACACACTTCATTCTCCTCTTCACCAGGCAAAATTGCTTCAACTATATCATAAGTATTAAATGTATTTTTTTGTTTTAGTTATTTGAACAACTTAAGGTAGACTTTAGTCCTACTGTTGCTATTCAGTCAAAATTTCATTAGTGGAGGGAATATTTTTCCAGGCGAAGAACTGAGGACGGTCTCAAAAACGAGAATAGAAAGTTTGCTGTGTTCTTTGGATTTCTCTTTTTTTTTTTTTTTTTTTTTTTTTTTTTTTTTTGAAGTCCGAGTGGTGTGTTATTATAAAAGTGTGTCTAGGTAATAAAACGAGAACTTCTGAGAACTTCTGAACATACTCTGGCTGGGCAGGTTTGACCTGAAGTCTTTAAAATCGGGTAACATCTCCCTCCCAAACCATCCTGTGATCCTACGATTCCATGATTCTGAGATTTTATGATTCTAAGATCGGAGAATTCGGACCCACGCGGGACGCCCACGGTGGGAGGGACACGGTGATATCCACGTGGTTTCTGTGTGGGTGAAGAAGGGGAGCCTGTCCGACTTCAAAAACGAGGTAGGGGTTTCCCTATTGAGAAGGTACTCATGAGAAGGCTCATCCCAATACGGTATGTGGGGATGGGAGGAGCATAAGGCGGTTCTTCCCTGAGTCCGCCGACCCATTTCAGCTGGGATCGTTATTTCCACTGGAGGAAAACGAAAAGTTACATGAATTGCCTCAGTTATTTTTTAATGTGTATGTATGTGTACATTTTCCAGGCAAGTGTAGGAATAACTGGATAAATTTTCAAAAAAGATCAATATTTTCTCCCCTCCCCTCCCCTCCCCTCCCCTTCCCTCCCCTCCCTTCCCCTCATTTCCGTTTCTTTTTTCTTCTTTCTCCTTTCTTTCTTTTCTTTTCCCAAATGAAAAACTAGACTCGCTAAAGACCGAGGGGCTAAGGAGTTGTTCAGCCTCCAGTGATCGTGGATCTGTGGCCGGGGGCCCACCAGGAGGTGGGAATCAACACTGGTTGTAGGAGCAAGCTTGTAATCCCCACTCGGGCAGGGAAGGAGGTGTCTCTGTGGTGCTGCAAACACCCCCGTAACCTGCGGTCCTCTGAGCTCTGCGGCTGTGTTGTTTGGGACAGATGTTGGTCAGAAGGGAGAACTTGGGTCACCAAACGCAAAGAGGCGTTGAGGACGCGTTCCCAGCCGCAGTCCCTGCCAGGTGAGGAAGCCCTCTCGTTCTGCACGGACGGCTTCCCTCCAGGCACCAACCAGCAGCACGTTGCTTCTTTCCTCATACTTCCAGAAAAAACAATCAGTTCCTCACAGGCGGGTTGCCCAAAACTGGGACGAGAAGGAGAGCAGGACTCAGGGACACACCTCCAGATCAGGGAAAACTCTCTTTGATGTTGTTTGGCAGGAGGCGGCGCCATCCAGAGAAAACATGCGGGGAGGATGATGGAGAGCCCCCCACGCTTCCTCGCCGCCGGCGGGACTCCCTGCCAGCCCCGCCCCCGCTAGCGAACTTCACCTGAGTAAAACCTCCAGAGCTCGGGAAAACAACAACTACAAAAAACCACTTTTCCACGCCCCCACCCCTTCCGGACGCGTTAATACCGTTTTTTCATCCGACATAAAGGTTTCTGCCTGTTTTTTTCAAGCTGCTCTGAACGGACCAATGCCCGCCCCTCTCTCCCTCCGGAGACACAAATATAATTTAAAAAATCCCCAACTCTCAAATAGTATATTACATTACACCTGTTATTCTTATCACTATAAATAAGATTATTAATAATCCTCATTAGCATTATTATTAAGAGAAAGCACAAAGAAATCAACCTGCGGAGCGGAGTGGTGCCCTCTCCTCTGAACCGACGGACAGATGGTAGGACGGACAGACAGGGAGGGAGGGTCAGACTTGGTGAGACCCTTCCGTGCCCCTTCCTCCAGTTCAGTGGGAGCCACCGCTCACAGCCAGTCGGTACACGGGATGGTGCCGAGCCCGGAGAGGCCGAGAGCGGCGGGAGGGACGCGAGGGAATCGAACAGGGACGCAGGAAACAGAGGAGAAACGAGGGAATCGAGGAGGAACGGGAGGATTCAGGAGGGACAGGGGGATCGGGGAGGGAAGGGGGGAGTCGAGGAGGGACGGGGGGGATGTGATGAGGCGCTGCCGCCCCCAGGCGGCGCCGCACGGAAGCGCCTCGCTCCTCACATGCGGTGCATCCCCGCATCCTTCCGCTCCCTCGGGCATACTGCACCACCGTCCCCGCTGCCTCGGGAACCAAGAAATGGGTAAATATCAGAATAGGCAGGAAAAATAGTGACAGCAACAACAAGGCATGCGGAGGCGAGGTGGAAAAGAGAAAAAAAAAATAACATATGAATAAGTCTAAAAAATAAAGGATACTTCCTGCTTTTTAAGGTAAATGCGGTGGGTCCCTGTGGAGCAACCAGGGACCAAAGTGAAAAATCGGGAAAACCGGAAAAATTTGGAAAGGGTGAAGGGAGGAGGAAAGGGAAGAGGAGAGAAAATTTGAAGCAAACGCAGGGGAACGAGGCCGAGGAGGTGGGTCACAATGAACACGAGCGTGGAGGTAGGAGGGCGGCTGAAAAACATGTCCATGACATGGATGTGAAAAATCATCTGCAGTGTGGAAAAGAACATTTGTCTCTTTTTGTGTGTGGTTTTGTTTGTTTGTTTTTTAAATACATATGTTTGCTGGGGTGTGTGTGGTCTTTATGGTTTTGTTTGTTTGTTTGATTTGGGAGGTTTTTGTTCTTTGGTTTTATTTATCTATTTATTTATGTATTAAAATTTTATTTTTATAATTTTATTTTATCCTCTGTTAGGAGCAAGCAGTGGTTCTGTCAGCTGGGGCAGGTGCTCTCTGGTCTTCACTATCCTACCCCACACATCCCCAAGGAGGTTCTACTGCTGTCCAGAGAAAGAGGAGACAGTTTGTAGATTTTGGTCTCCGTAGGTGAAAGTTTACTTCAGGAAGTAACACTTAAGGAGTAAGTTTCCACCAGCCATCCCTCTTCTCATGGGTCACCAACTCTCACTTTCATCGGAAAGCCTGAGAAAGACTAACCCTTGAAGAGAAATCCATGTTTATTAGTTGACATTAGCTTCACTGAGCCTAACAGATTCTTCTCGGTGACAGAGTTTTGCTGCTACTGAGAGTAAAACCAGCAAGTTTGGGACATTTGCAGAAAACTGGTATTTCAGGTGGCAGTTGACCCATTCAAAGCTGTTTCCATTGTGACTGTGATGAAGAATAAGAGTCTTGTTTCTGCTGCTAGGCCCTGCTTCTCACAAAGTCCTTCTTCTGCTTTGTTTGTGATTACTCATGCCAAAACACGGGAAAAAATAATTGTTCTTTCTAAAATATCATGGGACTTTGTTTTGTTTTGTATGAATTTTCAGACAAACCTAGAAACATGAAAAATGTTTTATCTGGTATTCAGCAACTGACATTCAGAAGGCAAGTGTAATGAAAATAAAGTTCTAAATACTTGAAAATCAAATGATCTTTCATTGTCCTAAAGATGGTTGCAATCAAGATTATTTTCTGGGCTAGCTTTTAGTTCACGGAGATGCATACAAAAGTCTCCCTCTGTGACTTCATGTTGGCCAGTTGTTAAATATAATGCTTAGATGCTCAGTTACTTGTCCTCAACTCTGCCTAAATGCCCATCATACAATTTTGACAAAGAGAAAACATACAATTAATAAAAAAAATTAAAAATCTTTTCTCTGTTGGACCATTTCAAAAGAACAAGATCAAAATGATTAGAAGTAACATGCATTTTTTTTCCTGTTCTGTCCAGAGCAGTAGACATAAGTGTTAGGTGCTAGATACCAGAAGGTTTTATTAAGGCTCGGAGCTGCCTACTCCCTCCTCCATTCTTAGATGTAGTTTTGAGGATCCTCAGGTTTTCCGTATATTTATAATTTCCTTATAAAACAAGCTCTAGACTCCAGTATAGACATTCACTTTCTCAGCCAGAGTCACTGCAGTGCATAACAACACCACTGTTATTTTTGTAATGGATTTAATCATTAATCAAATAAATGAGTTTATTACAGAGGAACAAATATGAAATATCAAAATTAAATTTATATTTCCTTTTCTTTCCCTTCACTTCACTACACATGTTTTGGACTATATTGCTTTTTAAAATGTTGAGCAATACTGAGGTTATGTATTTTTAAAATGAAAATGTAGACCCAAAATGTATTCAGGTTTGCTTCCCCATACAGATGTAATGCTATGATTCTTATGGCCTATTGTCACCCTGAGAGCTTTGCTTTCTGACTCACAGGTGACCTTAGAAGATCATTGCTTCTCTTACTGCAGTAAAGCCTCTTGACTTGGGGCTTGCCACTAAATTTCCCAAAAGCAAGAGAGGAGCTTCAGTCCCAGAAGTAGAATCCACAACACTGGACTAGCATTGAGAAGTACAGGCAGACTGTAACTATAACGATTTCAAAGTTAATACATTCACTTCACAAACATTTACAAGATTTAAATACTTATTAAGCACACATGTAAAAATTCGGATAAGACATTCTGTGATTTTGTGAAGTGGATGAGAGCAGCAGTTTGTCTCTGAAGTTGATCCCCAATGGGAAAGTAGGAGTCTGTCAAACAGACTCATAACACCGTATTTCAACTGTGAAAAAATGAATGCTTTTGTTAATGGAATTATCTCTAGAAAAAGAAAGAAGAATTTTAAACACAACTAAAATTGGTTTTTTACTTAAACTTAATTTTAAAATTAAGTTTACTTTTTTTCTGATGCTTAATACAGTTCAGATTGACAAATATTAAGTAGTCCAGAAACCAGCAATTATTCACTCTCTGGAGTGTAAGCTGAATATTCCTTTAAACGTTACTTTTTTGGCTGCACTGGATAAAATAATATCTATCAAATTTCCACTAGAGATTCAAAGAAACAAGCGCCTATCCTTTAGGAAAATACCACTTTTTCCTTTTAAAAAAACATTTTTAACAACAAATATGATCTTTCGATTTCCTAAAAGTGACCACTTGTCTCCCTCATTTGCCACTAAAAACAAATCAGCTTTTAAAACTGGAGGAAGAGAATGTGATTAAGTAAACAACAGGAAATAAAATATAAAATTCTACTTGCAGTTTTTGCTCACAAGTGGGAAAGACCAGATAGTCAAATAGTTATGATATTAGTAGCAATTTTCCCTAAAGGAGTAA